GGGGAACCGGGGGGCCCGGGGAATTGCGGGGGCTTGCCCCCCCCCCCCCGCCGTAGTTACGCCAATGACCAAGGAAAAGGATTATTTTTTGAGAATAATTATTTGTTCAGACATTTTTCTCCGCTTTTCATACACGCCCTCTCGCGACAAAATATCGCGAGTAAACAGTTACAGAGGTCAGAGGTCATAAAATGGCAAGTGCCAACATGGCGAGTGTGCGAATCTCTCCCATCGGTTTTGTAGTGATTTTCCTCCTGGCCGGGGCAGTGATCCTCTACGTCCAGCGATCGTGGAACGGAAAGGAAGAACGGGAAGCCAAGATCGTCAGGCCGGGGCAGACGGTCAGCCTGCGGCAGCTGCTCTCGGCGGGAATCGACGCAGCCGAGCGCGGCGGCTTAGAAGTCAAGAAAGTGATGGAGGAACAGAAGTTGAACGAGAAGAGCAAAGGCGAGACACGGGAAGGCGCGAATAACCCAGTGACAGATGGGGATATGAGGTCACACAAAGCCATGGTACACAGTCTCAAGAAGACATTCCCGCTTCTAAAGGTATACAAATGACCTTCTGTTTTGTCAGGCCTACTTCTACCTTACAAACTATAATTCCTCTCAAAATTTACAAACATTTTTTTTGACAGAAATCAAAGATTCATTTTGCGGGACTGACAGGCCTAGTTATTTTTGTCATAACAATAACATCACATTGTCACGGTGCCGAGTAGTATATTTTCCTACCTAGGCCTACAGCATGTCCACTTTAGACAAACGTTAGACATGTCATTACTATGTAGCTACATCATGTACATGTACTAATGTAGAAAACCATATTGTATTCAGAGCGACCTATGAATGGGCTGTCATTCTCGAGATGGAAGCTACACATAGGAGGAGGCTGTTAAGCATTTCAACCTGTTATTGTACACCTAAAGTGGCAGTCCTCCAGTCAGTTTATCTGTGGATTTACTTATTTTGTTCATTGTTGAGAACAGTATAAAAAATGAATACAAATATTTCGGGGGTAATTGGGGATATATGTAGGGCCTACTTCATAATAAAAAAGAAGTGTGTTGGATTAAAAGATGTAGTGTTTCAACAGTAAATGAGATTTTTTCCCAGTGACCACAAAGTAATCATGCCCCTTTGAGTCCAGAGGGGTTGAGTAAAGAACAGGGTTTGGAAACTGTTGTGGTTGCCATAATTACATAAATATTTATGAGCCCAGGAGCCACCACGAAGTTCATAATTGTTATAAATCTCTGTTTTCAGACTTACCATGCCTTCAGGTTCTCAGGGCAATGGGTGTGGAGGCCTGTTATTTTTGTTAGTGCTTTGAAACTTTTTTTTTCTGACAGATTGTGTCGGAAGAGAAAGAAGTTGGAAGTTGGGACGACAGCAAACTGCTGCTCCTCGAAACGAAACGGTCGGACGTAGTGACCATGGTGCAGGAGGATGAGATGGTTCCATTTGATGACATCACCGTTTGGATCGATCCATTAGATGCTACGCAAGAATACACAGGTAAGAGACCACTCTAGGGCAGTGCCGAATATCAGAATAAGGTTACGAATATTCAATTGATTATTGAACAGTCAAATATTGTCCGAATTTGAATATTGGAATGCAAAATTCATGAAAACGACTGCGGAGACTTGTTTCAAGCAGATTCAAATAAAAGGCGACAGAAATCTTACAATGATTCAAAAATTAAATTATTTATGAAACATTTTAAAAGGAATAGAAAATAATTTACAACATGCCAAGAAGTATTGTTCACCTCTTAAATCTTGCTAAATTGTGGCTGGAGATTCTCCTAGATGTGAGAATATGTCATATTGATTACAATGTACAAGTTTGTACATTGGTGCAACTGATTTTGTACATGGTTTGTTCATCAACAATCTGCCGGTCGATACGACTGAATAGTGGGATATTCGATCAGATAGAATGTCGAATATTTGAATAGTGAATTATTTGGATTGACTCAACCCTAGACCACTCTCATTCTGCCTTGTATGGGTGGCCCGTTTGCAGAAATATCACCTTCAAGTCGGTGTTCAATTTCACCTCCAGTTCACTCCAAATGAACATTTTGTTCCTTGGATTTGAAACTGAATTGTTGACTGACCCGATTTCACAGAGCTGCATAACAGCAGATAAGTCATATTCATTACCGGTGTATAGCAGAAAATTGTAAAAAAAACAACCAAAAAAACTCACATCTACATGTACGGTATATAATGTGAGCTCCTTACATTACCACATTTGTCACAGGAATCTAGTCGGCATTCTATTTCCCTGTCAAGAGTGTCAAAGGATTGATTATCCAATCCACTCTGTTTGCAGAAAAATTGCTGGAGTATGTGACCACGATGGTGTGTGTGGCGGTGCGCGGAGTACCGACAATCGGTATCATCCATAAACCATTCAAGACCAATGACAAGACAGGTAAAGTACATGTAGCTTTTGGAGGTCACCAGTTTGATGTTTGATGGATTTGCTCCTGTAATTTTCTAGAGGTGCTTCATGAAATAGTCAATTTTGTGTCCCAGAGCAGGACATTTTAGTGCAAACGCTTCTCTCAGTCAAGAAAAAGAGGTTTATGGTGCTTGTGCATCATTGGCTAAAATATAGAATTTCAATGGCTGAGGTGGTAATGGTCAAAGGTATACACTCACTCGCGTCTAGAGAATATCAAATATGGTAGTTTGCCTTGCTCAAGGACATAGAAAATAAACCAGCCAGTGCATGCGCAGTGACAAAAATTGCAAATGTGTATCGGTTTTTTAATGGAACTACACCCTTAGTGGGTACACCAAGCACTTGGACTTTCCCACTGAGCAACCTGGTTACGTCACTGTGGCTAAAGAAAATTGATAACCTGAGAGCTTAGCTCAAAGAGCTTAGCTCAAACACTTTTACGCGAAATGCAGTAAGTGAGAATGTCTTTCAAAGTATGTGGTCAACCGACGACACCGACCGGTTAATTGTTTCTTACTAAATAGACCAAGACTGTCCCTGCCTTCTTGTTTGTTCTGCATTATTTGCAGAAACTCCTCCCGGTCGACTTGTAAGCAAATATCTACATGTAATCTCTGTAAGTTGTCTGTTTTTATCTGGCAGTGTGGGCATACGTTGGCAAGACCCACTCGCCCAACCTAAAGCTTCCCATCAAGAAGGCGGCGGAGGAGCTCACGACAAGTCCAAAGATCATCGTGTCGCGCTCGCACCAGGGTGCTGTGGAAAGCGTTGCCAAGAAGTCCTTCGGGGAGAAAACCGAAGTCATCCCTGCCGGAGGTGCTGGTAAGACTCCGCCCTTCCTCTTGGTCCCAACCTCTTACATTTCATTTGTAAAAATACATATTGAATTTTTAAAAGCTGAGAAACATTTCGTAAATGGTGGATACTTAAAACATTATTTTGAATCGTTGCCTGTTGTGGTGGCCAATGGAATGACTGTAACCATGTATATAAATATATGCACAAAGTGTTCCATGTACTTCACTATTATGCATAGAAAATCATTTATGCCACTCAAGATAAATTTGCTACAATTCTGAGAACTGGTTTTAAAATTTTCAAGATATGCAGTTATTTTTGAATTTGTTTCAATTAATTCAATGAAAGAATGGACTCACCACTTGCAAGAAAAAGATATTTTTCTGTGTCATTTTTATGTGTCTTGAACAACCAAAGAAATCATCCAGAATCATTGTTGAAATATTTCAATATTTATTTCTGACGGTCAACTTTTCCTTTTGTTCTTCAGGATATAAAGTGTGGTCCCTCTTTGAAGGCAAAGCTGATGCTTACATCCACACAACGTTGATCAAGAAATGGGACATTTGCGCCGGCAACGCCTTATTGAACGAGGCCAAAGGTCGCATGACAACCCTGAAAGGGGACGGGATCGACTACCACTGGAACCCCACCTCACCGAACCCCAAAAACGAGGGCGGGCTGTTGGCGACGCTCTGGGAGCATGAGATGTTCCTGGAGAGGCTGAAACCTGTGGTGGATGCGAAGCAGCGGTAGCCGCTGCGAAACGGAGCAGTGATCGTCAGTTGCGCCTTAGCCGAGGCCTGTTCACACTTCTGGCGGACGCAAAACGAAGTTGACTCCGCAAATTGTTTGCATTGAAAGTTGAAATGCAGACAACAATTTGAAAGTCACTGCTTGAGTTTGTGATCGTTTTTGCTTTTGCTAAGGTGTGAACCGGCCTGTACTCATGAAGTTTTGTTACTCTTGGCTTTTTAACACTTGTCATCTCAATGTCATCCCAGCTTTGTCTCTGACATCAAAATGGTCATCGGTCTATCATGTTCAAACTGATTGAACGTAGTTCATTTACATATCCTAGGTTAATGGCACTCAGTTTGACGTTCCTGTCCTGAATTACCAATTTCAAGCGAGATTAAAGCTCAAATTTGGGGGAAAGGGAATCCATCACAGCTGGAAACAGACAGACCTGAGATTCCCCCAAACCTCATTTATTCTTCATCATACATGCAGTGTAAAGATGTGCTATCTCCTCTTTGCGCAATCCATTGAGGGCACTGTGACTTATGCATGTCCGAGCCACAGTGTACGAGAGCGTACACTTGAGTAAACATATGTATTGCCCTGTATACGGTTGCTCTCGTTGAGTTGAAGCACTCTACTGTTCCAAACATTACTAATGTTGCATTTTTTCCACAAAAATTGCCAAAGTCCACCTGTCATGGACCAAGATGGAATTGGCTTGTGTTTAATCAAACAGCTAGTTCTTATGCAGCTGTAGAGTTCAAAACAAGACGTAAAGTGAAGTTAGACTTTCGGCAATATCATTGAAAAAGCCTATTTTTGTGATTGGGGGTGCTAGAAGATTTCATCTTGTAGATGTAAATTAAAAGGAATGCAATTTGTGTTATTTGTTCTGTGTAAATCTGTAGCCTAACTTTCTTTCTGAAATTGTTGCGTATGTCTGATTCTCAGATTTGTTCTCAAAATATGGCACCCTCTGGTGGTAGAAAATGGGCATTTAATGCAACTTTTACTTTCTTTTCCAATCTGCCATCCAGCTGGTTTTAATGAGAATTGGTCAGGATGGATTTGTAGGCTTCGGCATAGATGCAGGACACTGAAAACTGTTTTATTGCCGATTTAATTAGGGCCAAAGACTTTCGGTCATATGCTGCCATCCTGTGGTGTGTCAAAGTTTTGTGTCGGGTTTTTGCATCTCCGAAACTATTAAATAGCAACTTGACCAAATTTCTTAACTTTTTCGTAAATAAATAGGAGCCCTTTTTTGTATTTTCTAATGTAGACAGAAGAAGTAAAGAATCGAAGTTTACTGTGAAATTTCAAAGGATAAATGATTACACAGAACTGTTAGGGTTTAAGAGAAGTTGATATTTGTAGTACATGTATGTATTCTGTGTATCTGAAAACGTTTTAAAAAAAGTAATGCAAAAAATTTTCAGCCAGTGGAATTTGTTTCGAAGAATGATACTTGTTCATCTGGAAATAAAAAGTGTTTGTGGGGGGAGCGCCATCATGGAGGGAAGGCTATTGTGATGTGCTGGTATAGACCTTTTTCACCAACGTGACTGGATTGCGCCAAATGTAAACAATCCCACCACGTGTGGACCGCCTTGGCCACGGTGATCACATACATTCCTACGGGCAGCTTCAACCACGTGGAAGCCCACGTGCGAACACCGCATGCTTGACTACTTTATCTTGAATAAGTAGATTACTATCGCAACACTGCATTCATTACCATCGCAACACGTCTCGATCTAGCACGATTGTGACATCACAGGAAAAAGGTCAATACGAGTAGCTACTCTGCACTTTTATTGTCACTGAATTTACATAACAGAAACTGTCCTCCGTGATGGGGGCTCAGTGCAAGCCCTCTATAGTACAATCATGTTTTCCACCAGGCTTTTGTTACTAAAACGTCGAGAAATATTGAAATGCAACACATATTGTTGGTACTGATTACCAGAAACAAGTCATGAAAACAGGTTTTGTACAGTTAGCACTGATGCATCAGGTACATGAATGGTTTTAATTGTGGTTTTCAATGTAGAAAACACGGGCATTTCAAATTGCGAGCGGCCATAAATTTTCATAGGTTTGTGGGAACTAATTTTTCTGAAATACTCGCTATTAATGATGGATTGGTTCTCGTTTTTGACTTTCCTTCTCTTTGTTTCGTTCAGCTTTTGGTTTGTGGGCTCTTGTCCTTGTTAGAAACGAAGAAAATTATGTAATGGTGGTACTTACACACAGGTGCGTTTTATATTCAAATCAGGTGCCATACGTAGTTCACAGTGTGAAGAAGTTGTTAGTCGTCAGTCCACAGAATTGATAACTGAAGCACTTTTGTAATGGCGATCGAGCTGACGACTCCAGTATTTAGCGTGGAGGAAGCGTTGTCTTTCAATTATCCGGCAGTAACGGTCTTTCCACCAGCTGCTGGTTCAGAGGCAAATTCTTGCCAGTTCTCTCCTTGGCGAATAAAAAAAGAGATATGGCATATTATTTAGTGTAAAGCTGTGTTTTCCTATTTTCTAAGTTGCTTTCTGGAACTTATATTTTACAGTTCCCTTTTTTAGAAAGTGATGAATATACATGAAGTCTGTGTCATAATAACAGTGGGGTATGTATTTATATATAAACGGATTCTTTAAAGCGGGAGATTATTATTATTATTACATGTATTTATTTCTGGTAATGACACCAAGGATTCTTTAAAAGCGCCCTAGGCACTGTAGCTCAGAAGCCTGAAGAAACCTGTCGAGAGGAGACAATGAGAAGCAGTTACCGTTTTAGAGGTGGGAGGAAAACCTCAGAGGAATATTCTGGGTAAAACCCACGGAATCAGGTAGGGACTGGAAACCCAATCCACACGTGGAAGGGCGAGGAAAGAACTACTGCGCCAACCCAACTCCCCGAAGATTAGCGACTCAACGGGCAGGAATACCAAAATAGGAGAAACGAGTCCGACAGGTTTGTGATGTCGTTGTTGGCTAAATGTATGAGATTTTTGGAACAAACAAGTGGCCCTTGTAAGCTACACTTATTCAAATTCGCCAACTTTTTTTTGTCTCGTTTTCATAATAACCGCGCTCGTCGTAAGCATTGGTGTCAAGAGAAGACTTTCCTTTTTTTTAAATTTTTTTTCATGTCCCTGCAGGGTGGCCGCAGTTCAGAAACGCTCTCGTAGGTTGAATAATAAAAGACCGTCTTGCCAAGTGACTGTCGTGGATGAGTCAAATAATGTCACTTTTACACAAGCTGATAGTTTTCATATTTTGCCCTTGAAAATAATCGTTTTCCAGAGAAAACAGTGGCTCCTATGAGGGGTTCCAAGTTCGATAACTGTTCACGCAGAGCAAGGCGAGTCAGCACTCACCATCTCGGCCTATTATTTGACTCTTGGGCCGAAGACGAAATTTGTTTTCACAGGAATAGTCTTTGAAAAGGCGTCACTGAGGTGCCATTGGCCCAGTGGCGTAGCTAGGATTTTACGGGGGGGGGAGCACCAGCATGGGGGGCACCAGCTTTCAGTGGTGTGCTTTTTAGGGGCAAACTTTTGTTAGCCTTGTTCAATATACATTCATCCGTTTTGGGGGGGGGGGGGGCACGTGCGCCCCCAGACTACCCCGTGGCTACGCCAGAAATAAGGCTACAGGTCTTCTTCCAACAGGGGAGAAAGCTTGGAAAATAACTCATTTTACCAGAAGGGTAATCTTCTTTAAGATTCTGAAAAGAGTTTCGATATCCTCACCTAAGAAGTCGCTATGCGCATGCTCAGTGGATCACCGTAATTTAAGTCCAATATATTTGTTTGTTTTGTAAACTTCTATCCCTACTGAATCGCAGCTGGTGTGTTTTGTATCGATCCGAAATCGATTTCTCGTGTTGCTAGCTGGCAGCTAGTCTGTCGTCTTAGGCTCGACCCAGACACAATTGTGTCGCCTTTTATCCTCGGGGAGTGAATCGATGCCTGGTTTGCTGAGTGTTTGTGCCGGGTCGGTCAACCGAGAGTGCCACCTGCTCTTAGGGTACTTCTCGAAACATCCCAAGTCTACCGATGAATAACTTGCTGCCTTGTTGGTGAATGACTAGAGAAGATCCCCTTCAAATTTTATTAACCAGCATTAGGGATCTATTTCAAGTGTGGAGAAAAGAGACAAGCCGAATAGTGACGAAAGAAGTGTCGAAAATCGGGATAAGCCATCCCAAACTTTTGAGCCGCACCCTTCGATCCCGATGTTGACGTGACTCCAAAAGAGGGGAGTCTAGGTACCTGGCCATGTGAACAGCCTAACAACACAGACGCCAAGGCTAACTACATGTATATGTACATGTACGTCTTGTAGATTGGTGTACAGGGTAAATTTTGCCGTTCACAAATTGTGTTCAAAATATGAAGTACCTAGTCGAGACCGTGGTAACAGTACGTCTATTCGGAATACTTGTCGTTGGACATCCTTGGAGTTAACTTGGATCGCTGCCAGTGATCACCTTTCAACAACCGTCTGGAGTGTTTTACGAGCAGACGAGGGGTTTGACGTCGTGCATAGTGCTCTCATATACGCCACTGTTTGTTCAGCGACATGTAAGTTCATTAAATACAAGTTGATCCACGGCTATCTTCGCTTATCCCGTCCACAAATCACATGGGCATGTGCAATGACGTCTTGTTTGGAGTCATGATGACGCCATCAGGGAGTTGGAGCCGATATTCGGCGCGGCTTTTGTATTCAGTTTGATTTGCCCTTCACAATTGTGCGTGTCAGTAGTCATGGGTGACGGGGGTGCACATAGGGTGCATGGGGTGACGAGTTGCGACCGTGTGTGCGTATCGTGTTCGGATTGTACAATGAGTTACAGGGTCATTCGGTTTCAATTAAAGGGGCGTGTGTGCTTATTGAACGGTT